ATGTTTCTATACCGCCAACAATGCCACACATATAACCGTTAGTTGCTTATCGCTGCTTGCAATGAGTTCGCTTTGCTTCCGGGAAATCGCACGCCCCGCAGCTCTTTGCGCCCACAATGGCAACATTTTGATTCAACGCATATTTTATGCATTTCCTTGTACTTAAGTCTTTCTTTGCATCACCAATTGCTGTTGTTGTAGATAATGGTGGCTGTCATATACACGCTGTCGCTCTAATACTGATACTAGCCCTGCTGCTGCCACTGGGGCTGGTGCTGCTGCTCATGTCGTTATTGATGACAAGAAAATAAACGCGCTGAGCTATGTTGCCTCGAGCGTTCTCTTTCACTTCTCCTAGTCCGCTTCCTGGCACTTTTTCTGCTCTTCTTCTTCTTCTTCATCTTCTTTAACATTTGTCATTAAAAATCCATCTACAATATTTTCAAGTGCGCAAAGCAGCTGCTGAATCAGTCAAGTATAAGACGAAACTCAGCAAATTCTTGTACTCTTTATAAATGGGGTACAATGGGAACCCTGTTGGAATTTGATTTCTTTAATTGCTACAGATTATAGTAGTAAGGCGTGTACCGAGTTGTAGACCTGCTTCTGGGTATGCAGTTGCAGTTCCAGAGCATCCTCGTCGCACACCCTGACAACGTGAACAACTCTTGTGCGAGGCGCGGTAACCGACCATTGTGGAGCTGTCAGAGTTACGGCTCCGACTAGGTCTTGAAGCAAGCTCCAATAGTCGTGCAGCGAAGTTGTGCACTGGGCTTCGGTCCCATCACATTGAGTTCGATTTTTGTTCATCGAGAGGGGACTTCTCTTTTCAAATACCCAAAGCATAATCTGTTGGTAGTAGTGACCCCGTGTTGGATTTCAAACGTGACATTGTTGTTAATGTAGATGCTGTTTGCTAGATGGATGAAATTTTCAATGATATTACAGCTCTGACTGTCAACAGCTAGGGAGCCAAGACAGGACAGGAGGTATATACATATTTCGTCTTTTCTTCATTCATTACTAGCGAGGCGGGTCCCTCCTTCATCAGTCTGGAGTAAATTTTGAACCATAAAGAACTCCTTTACAATTCATTGTTTTCTTCCTGTCGAATAATGCTTGAATCGATCGAGGAGATTTCTTGTTTCGATCCTATTTCACTGATCTGTTCCAGTGTGTGGTGAATATCTGGGTAATGGTAAATTTTCCAGGTCTGAAACCGCATCGAGGCTTAGCCTATGATAATTGGCGCAGCTTATGCGGTCCTCCTCCTTGCAAATCTTCGCGTATGGCATACTCTTGTCATCGTCTACCTCCGCTTTGTTGTTCTGCAATTGCTATTGGTATTGCTTCATAGTGGGGAATTGAAAGTTCTATTTTATAATCATCGATTTGGAATGCGAGTTCATCGCTTTTAGGTGCACAAACAACAAATTTGCGTTGCCGTCAATCGCATTTACCTTTGCTAACCTTTAGTGGAGCAGGGACATCAATCAGCTGGCTAGCAACACCAGCCCAATTAACAAACCGAATTGTGAGGGGTCGTCATCAAATGGGGTGACCACTTATCCGTAGATTGTTGGTATAATTTATCTTTGTCTTTGGCCACAAAAGCCAAGGGACTAGCAGTGCATCCTGATTTGACTAAAATTCGTTTGCCCTTTGCCAGGCAATGATAGGTCCTCCAAGTTTACTTTTGGCATGAAATCAGAAGCTCCTCATAAAAAACCATCGGTCGTTCAGAGGCGGCTTAGTATAAACTGTAGGTCTCTCCATTTGCTGAAAAACAACATGAGGAAGAGGAGCTCGGCAGAAAACCTCCTCTGCCATTACAAAGCGCCAAGAACAAGGACCTAGATAAAAAAAAAATCCAGACGAGAGGTCCACTTTTGCAACAACTGGGGCCGTAAGTCCCAGTGTCAAACGTCTCAAACTTATCTGCGTAAGGAAGCGACTTCACATAAACCGAGAAAAAAATGTCTAGCTGTGATAAATCGCAAGTCCACGATGCGGCGATAATGCGCTCATCAAAATTTTCGTTCTATGAATTGAGAGCTTCGTTTGCAGTAGGACATGTAGTAACTTCATGTTGGAACCAAAGGTTCTCCACATCAATATGCTCCAATCCATGCAGGAAGAGGTCATTAATCATGACTCAAAAGTGTTCCCCATTGACTAATTGATATATAAAGACGGCTTTATTTTTGATCATATTTGGACTAATGCCTCCATCTGCTATGAAACAGTGAGTTTTTGAGGATGTAATGGCTTACTAATCTTCACATTAAACCAAAAGTTAGCTTCATCGCTAAACAAAAATATATTGTGATAATCGGGATCGGTGGCCATATCATTTTGAGCCCATTCACCGATCGTGCGACGAGCTTGAGAGTCGTTAGACTTAACGATTTATTTGTATTTTGCAAGCCAACACATCTGGATCCTTCCGCAAAACCTTCAATTTGTTGCGCGCTATGGCGAAAGGACACCTTCGGGTCTTCTTCAATACTGTGCTCCACGGCAGCAATAGCATCCTCGGTACGCACTGCACAACAACTCTGAGGGCGCGCATTATCATGGTACGAAATCGGTTCATGGTTGCTCGAGCCATCGACTCTACTGGGCAATTATTTCAACCGAATGTTGGACGTAGCACGCGTTTTGGCTCTAAATTTGCAACGCCCAAAAAACTACTGCCCCATTAAACGCATTCAGATGAATACCGATCTTAACTTGCACCGCCTGCATGGAATTCTGCTCCTCTGACTTTACTATCTCTATCTCTCTCCAATTCCATTCTTCTTCTACTTTTTTATTGGCCTCGGCAGCGCTCCAATTCCATTAGGGTTCCTTTAATCGCGCTTATGAATGAAAACCACATCTTATATACTTACAAACATATGTACATGTGTGTTATTGCCTGAAAGCTTGTATACCAATGTAAGTATGTACGAGGGCCTTAACAAAAGTTCGGTAAGTCTCAATTTGTTTTTGTTTAATAATAAAATACCAAATCCCTTGCAATTACGTTATCGTTCTACCATTCAAATTTTAGAACGGTCGGCTGAAATGGCGACGATAAAATGCAGAATAGCTGAGAGTAGGTCAGACGAAATTCCTTTACCAAAGCAAACAGAAATTCGGCATTTGATTCTCTCCGGATTTCGGCGTAATTTTCAGACAATAGAAATATTCAGTGGCTGCCAAACTGCATATAGAATGGTTGTACCCTCTTTAAAGACTATTTCCAAGTGGTTCTGAAGATTGCAGGCCGAATATTTAGAGAACAAGCCCCGAGAAGGTCCTTCTACTGATGACGTCACTGTAGCTCTGATGAAGTCCAAAACTGACAAAGACCCACGACTGACACAAGAAATGATTGCTTGAATGGGGCTTGAATGCCATGGCAGTATCGCGTATACTAAGCAATCATCTGGGTCATACGAAGAAGTCTGCTCGATAGGAACCACGAATTTTAAATGAGCACCAAAAAGCGGCTCGAGTGCATTTCGCTCAATTTTTCCTAAACAAATTCGAAAGTGGTCGGTCTAGCGACTTTAGTAAAGTTCTTACTGAGGGCGAATCATGGGTCTATAAGTCGGATCTAGAAACCAAACAGCAGTGCATGCTATGAAGGCCAACAGGAGCAACCCCACCCGTAAAATCTAAGCGATAAAAATCAGCTGCAAAAGCAATGAGGTCAGTTTACTTCGCTCGATCTAAAATCGAAGCTGCTATTCCACAGGAGAAGGGTCAGACGGTAACTGCAAAATGGTACACCGAAGAGTGCTTACCGAAAGATTTCAAAAATTTGTTGGAAGCCAGGAAAAAAGGGGATTTGCTGCGCTACTTTTTACATGTCTTCGCGTCATTCCACACTCCTGAAATATTGAGTAATTTTAATGCTATCGCTGGGTTCGAAGAAATTCCTCCAGCACCATTTTCCCCGGTTTTGACACCTAGTGATTTCTGATTGTTTCCAAAAATAAAACAAAAAATTAAAAGGAAAGATTTTTAATAGCAACGAGGAGATAATTAATGCGGTAAATGCCCAACTTGATGAGCTTAAAAAGCAACACAGTTTCCAGAAGTGGATCTGGGGGCTTAAGAATTGCATTGAAATCAATGGCGATTATGTCGAAAAGATATAAAAGGACAAAGATAACGATTAAATAATAAATAAAAAAGTTTTTTTTTTCTGGTCAACTTACCGAACGTTTGTTGATCTCCTCCTTGAACATATATATATATATGTCATAGAATATTACTGAAACGATGAAAGCGCATCCTTTCATATGTCAAACAGAAATGTGTGTTCGGAAAATTTCACTCATTAGTTGCAGATATGTGTATGTATGTGTATAGCGACTCTGCTGCACGCGCAATATTTCATTAAGACATATGCAAATACATACATACACGCTTGTACTAATAAGCCATCAACTAATCCATAATATATTGGAAAAATCACACATACATTTTATTTAAGATATTATGGTGTTCATGTATATGTGTATGTATGTGTCATATCAGAAAAATAAGCTCTGAAAAATCCTTCAATAATTTCTTCATTAAATATTTATGTGCATATCGAAGTATGTATTTATTTATATTAAACTGATTTAGCGTGTTTTTTGTGCGGTTAGAAAAATATTTTCCGTTTAAATAAATAATTATTTGAAGAAATTCTTAATCTTTCGCCGTCGTTTGCCGAAATTCACTGTGCAGATAATTGCAAAATTCATAAAGTTCAACTGCCCTTTTTTGCGAAGATTTGCGAAATAGACACATGCATACATACATACATATGAGTACAGGCATGAATATACAAATATGTCTGTTTACACGCACATGTATGTAGGCATGTAAATGTGTGCGTTTACTGTGCTGCTGAATTACACCTTACAAAGCGTATGAAATTTTCTTGTCATCTCACATCAGCTTGGTTAGAAAAATCAGAAAATTGTTCGTCATCGATTCAAAAAAAATCAATATTTGAAAATTTTTATACTTTTTCGTGATTTTTCTTTAATATTTATATAAAAAATATTTATTTTTTTTTTAAATAAATCAAATTAAAAATGACCAGCAGCAACATTAACAAAATTGTACGCAGCAATATCACACTCAAGGTAAGCAACATTTTCGAAACTTTTCTCGCCGAAGCGCATTTCAAAACACGATATTAAAAATTTGCAATTTTTGAAATTTCCACTTTCACTTCCACTTTCCACTTTCCGCTTTGTGGGCTGTCCGCTGTGTCGCTGGCGCGCCGCAATCAACAGCCGTGGATACTTTCGAAGAACACTACCGAGATAGTCAACACCTGCATACAGAAAATTTACAAGCAATCGCAGAATAATTTCAAGAATGGTGAGTAAAGTGGTGTCGCAGTTATGCTGTGCTCTTGAGTGTGGAGTATCTGTGGGAGTTCGAAAAGTCGTGCTTAAGTCAAAATCAAATATTTTATTTTCCACCGCTTACGCGATTATAGCTGAATCGACAAAAGTGCGCCGTTCATTCCGTCAATTCGCTGTTGGCGCCAGTAGAAAGTATCAAGTGTAGCCAGACCACTCTCCCTAGCTAATAACTCCAACGAAGTCGAAGAGTGTAGGTCTTATTCTTCCGCTGCTTCCACCGGTGTTCTCAAAGGACCATAAATCTTACGCGAAACTCTTCTTGAAAACCCGCAGAGTCGACTCGGCATCGTTCAGGCCTTTGCACTATATAGCAGGTCGAGATTCATGAAGAGCTTAGAGGAATTTTGTTTTACTTCGGCGAGAGCTGACATTATTGCTGGTATTAATACTGGTTCCACGATAGATGAAATTATCTACGTTCACGAAATTATGACTGTCAATAGTAATGTGGTGCTGTGAAGTTCAATGCTAAAGAATCACACTGTCTGAAACCCTACTTAGTATCGGAGAGCTCGGAGAGGCCCTTCTCAACTTCGACGGCGCTTCTGGTGTTGTCCAAAGTCGTAAAAGTTTTTCGAAGATACCCAAATTCATACAATCACAACGGCGTAGAGGCAGCATTGATGAAAGTAGCTTCAAAACCGATGAAGAGGTGGTGTTGTCACTACTTCCATCATGGTTATTCTCCAAGAATTGACGCATGATGAATATGTGGTCAATAGTCGAGTTACCAGGTCTTAGGCCACACGGATCAGGTCGACGGTGGGCTTAAACCTTTCACACAATATGCTCTTTAGAACCTTTTATGAGACATTTAGGTGGTCATTCCTATAGTAATTGACTTAGACGGTAGGGTCTCTCTTTCGATGGATTGAGCAGAGCACACTTAGCTTATGTCTGACTATATGCTCCAAACAAGCTGATGCAAGAAGCTTATAAGTCCTTCATTGCCTTATGTGTATAGCTCTGCCGGTAAGCTATCGGCTTTAGCCGCTTTGGTCTTCTTCAGACGATCAATCGCTATTAGGACCTCGTCAAAATCGGGTAATGAAACGTCTGCCCCATCATCATCGATTGAGATTCCTATTACGTCATCTCTTGCTGTAGCATTTTCAGGACCATTCAGCATATCTCGTATGCTTTCGAACAGAGCCAAAATTAATTGTAATAAAGACCTTCATATATTCATTTCTGGAATTCTGCTCTTCAGTCGATGTTAAGATCGTCCTGATTGCTTCCTCCTTCCCCTAATCTTTTTAGCTAATACGAGATGCTGTCAACAGGGCACATGTTCTTCCTAAATGGTGTTTTCTAAAGCGATACCCCTTATGATATCAATTGCTTTTGGAACGTCCTTCGTTATCAGAGAGTATCGATCCAGAGATCTCTGATCACAATCCGCCAATTTTGTCTAGACTCGCAGCAGAACGTATTTTCTTCTCACTTTAATACAGCTCGCCGCATGGCACATCTTCTGAACGAAAGCTTCTCAGCAATCTACTTCAATTGACTTCAAATTAGAAAGTAAAGGTGAGAGTAGAGTCGGTAGTGTATTTTTTAGTATATTAAAGGCAGTCCCATATGCAAAATATATTTATGTGTTGAATATTCAACGCGTCCAAAAAGACTGTGATTTTCCTTTTAGGAAATAAAAAAATCCTTACACTTCTTCTCTTTTCAGATCAAACTAAAATCGCCGCAGCGAAACCCGAAAATAAGGGGCCCATTCGCGCACTGAAAACGCAGGAGCGTGCACGCGTGCCGCTGAGTATAAATGTTACACGCGCCAAAAAGGCGCAAAATGCAAGTGAGAATGCTGGCGCTACGGCTGGTACTGTCATCGGTGGCGTGCCTGCTTCTACCGCCGCTGCAAGCGCAACTGGTGAACGTTTAGCTAGCAAGGCAGCCGCTAATAACCGCCGCGGCGCAGTAGCAAATTTATCCGCACATCGCCGACTGTTGAAGACTTCTTCGCCCAACTACAAGATCTACAGTTCACGCCGCTTCGGTTCGAGTGCGAGCAGTTCGAATGCAAGCATCTTTCGTCGCAACGAAGAGCGTCGCCGTTCTACAACGCAAACAGCGCAGCTAAACTACTTACTGCGCACTTACGCGACGCAAATGAGGGAACGCGCCGCTATCAGTGGTAATACGCTCATACCAAAATTTATGGTATCGGCGCGTAATCAACACATGGCGACACGCGTCAACGGTGCGAACATACCACCACATGTGCTGCAGACATCTTCGATAATACAAAGGGAACTGATGCCCATCAATAGTGATGTGAAAGATCGCATTGCACTCGGACGACCGCGGTTAACTAAGACGGCGCCGCAAAAACCCAAATCGCAGGATCCCATGAGCGGTTGGAATCATCCGCCATCACAGGAGCTCTTCTTGGCGCGCTTCAATCAACACGGCATCGCCAATAATGAGCTGCAGGAACAGTATCGGCGCATGAAGAACGCCAATAAGATGCGTCAATTCGAGCAACTGCGTCAGATGGAAAAGCGTAATGCCATTTTGGGTACAGTAATGAAGAAGGACATGCGTCATCATGCGTTGAAGGATTTCGAGAGCAAAATGGGAATGAACTCACCGAGTAAATCACCACAACGGCAAGTACGCCAACAGACGCCTAGCTACGAACATGCCTACCTCACACGTGTCACGCGTCAACAAGCCGACGCAGCGGATACTGAAACCACCGCTTTAATACCTGTTAGTGAAGAGCCGCCTGCAGCAGCCAGTTCTGCAGCCGCAATGCAACCGGCGAGTGCTGCACAGCACACGAGCACAACCTTTCACACACACTCATCAGTAAAGCAAGCTCAAGAAGCGGTAGAGCAGAGCTTCCACGAGCCCACGGTGGCAGCACAAACAACCGCTACGTCCGCGAGCGGCACTATAACATCAAAGATCCTCAGTGTGCCAGCAGCTGAAACGCAGCAGCCCGAAGCTCCTTTCAACGAACTTCCAATGCCGTTGGCGATCACCAAGAAATCAGCCACATCTCAATGGGCGTGCAAAGCTGCCAATGCACAAAATGCAATGCGTTTCAGTCACAGTGTGCATTTAAAGAAGTTTTGACCTTTGAGATCTTATGTGTTGAAGAGATTTTTCGATGATACCCAAAGTAGGAGTGTAAGGTCAAGAGATCATATATGAAGTGTAAGACAGTGATTAATAAACTTTTGGTGACACATATGTATTTACATGCATACATACGTATCATATGTTCGTTGGAGAGAAGAGAGAGAAGAGAGAGAACGCAAGCAAATAGACTAAGCGGGATATATGCAAATCGGTTGATCGTTCCACCTTCCATTCCGGCGCTCACAACACTCTCACTCTCTCCACTTATGTATGTTCGCTCAGCAAATTTGTTTTTGCATACATTTTCCATTGAAAAGAGCAGAATAGTATAAATTAAATGTTACTCAATTTGGTTATTCATTTCCTTTTGTGCTGCGATTATCGGGTAGTAATGTTAGCAGTAATGTCCTGGGGCTTGCCTGTGGAAAATTATTTCACTTACATTCGATATAATCGCCATAAATTATTATGTGTTGTTGCAGTGATTTTGATGATTAAATACAATCACACAATTACAAAAGTGGTTTCAATTTTGGTTTGCTGTTATTAATTTTTTTCAACTAAATTTTCATTCGTTTTTAGTCATTCGAGCTCCATTGGAAGTACTATGGGAAACCAGGGCGCCAGGTTTATTTTCCAATAGAAAGGGGATCTTCCTCTTCCTTCATTGCTCTTGTTATTTTCTCCAGAATAAGAAAGTCACACAGAGCAGATCCATCTTATCTTAAGCTCCGTGTGGTATCCAGCGCCTCGAAGAGCCCCTACGAAACCATGCCAGAGCTTCTGGTATTCTCCAGCATCCTGTTTACATAACCGGATAAAGTTTGCATGGAAATCAAATTCAGACCAGACATAGCGGCATAAAGGAAGGCAGGCAGCTCTTTAGAGTGCCATTTAAAGCAGCTTTAAAATCGACGAAAAGGTGGCTTGGCTGGATACCCACGAATATCTGATCAAAGGCATATTTACCAGACCGAAAGCCACACTGATGAGGCTGTTACAGAGTAGGCTCGACAAAAGCTTGTATGCTATATTGAGAAGGTTCATCCAACTTGAATTTGTCCAAATTCTGGTATCTTTTGGTGAATTGCTCAGAGCACACTTAGAGTCCAATCGTCGAGTGATGAAAAGTCTGTGCATCAGTTTTGAAGTCTGCTATAAATCGGCATATTTTTATAAAGAACTTTTGAACTTTACTCGTACTGGTTTAATCATCAAGTGCATCGCGCTCATACTCATTTCTTTCTCTATATTTTTCCTATTGTAAATTAGTCGCTCCGCGGTATCCGAGACCCCTTGACAGGAAATATTAACCCCCTCCCCCCTCACCCCCAATTGGAGGAGGAGCTCGGCCCAAAATCACTTGAGCAGTTACAAAGCGCCAATTTAACTCTAGGTTAGTCGTGATTCCCACTGCCAGGTGGACAATCTTTCTTCTCCACACTGTGGTATGACAATTTTTATCGCACCAGTTGTACTTACGCAGCTTAAAATGCCTTCCCCTCTCAGAGAGCAGGAGTACAAGACTTGTAGAAAGCCGTTTGGTTTTTGTCATTGCGAATTTTCGACACCGACAGTTATCTGAGCCAGACGGACACTCAGACAGTCAGCTAGCCTGAAAGCGAGTTCCACAGTGGGGTTCCTTAAAACCATCATTCCTTCTCCCAAGCTTTGATCCAACCGTGTATATTATCAGTGGAAATGATTCTTCAATTCTTCTCTACTGATAATTCGTACTCTGACGTAATTTTCAGTAAGTGCAGTTGGACCGCATCGAGCTGTATAACTGGGCGTGAAATTTTATCTATCCAATATTTTCCAATCAAGCGGCTGCATTGCTGGACAGCCAAGGCTCAAGTCCTGGTTCGACCAACATCCAAAAATTCAAGAAAAGTTATTTAAATATTTAAATAATTTTTTTTAACTGCTGTCGCCCTTCGGCAGGAAATGTCAAGCCCTCCGAGTGTATTTCTGACACGAAATGAAAGCTCCTCATAATATCCAACGACCGTTCGGAGGTGGCGTGGATTAAACTGTGGGTCTCTTCATTTCTTGGAAAAATATCAAAACGTGCTCGTCCACTTCTGTGAATGGTACCAAAATGAGATGGCCGTGCGATGGTTGAATGCGTCCTTAACAAACGATATTATCTTCTTCTAGAGTCTTTTTTGTGCTTAAAGGCGAGGATATTGATGTGGACGAAACTTGGTTCCGACAAGTCGGCGCTACATGTCATACAGCCAGCGTAACAAACACTTTATTGAAGAAACCTTTCAGTGAGAGCATTATCTCCCGTCGTGTGCTTGTGGCATGGTTTCCAAGATCGCCCGAATTAACCGCGTTGGACAATTTTTTGGAGGGTCATGTGAAGTCGCTAGACTACTATTTATAAAGGGAACAGGGTATCTTCGCTTTCTTTTCTCACTTAAGTTTTAATACCAAAATAAAAAGAGTGAAAATGATTTTCCCCAACCAAATAGAGGAAAATTTTAGGACAAGAAGTTGCAGCTTAAGGCATTATGGAATGTTTGTAACGCATTGATAACTTGATTTTGATACAAGAAAGACGTTGCTTTTCTCTCAAATGGTGGCTCAAGTGGATTGGCAAAATTTTGACATGAAAAAGGCGCGTCTGTTGACGCAATTTGTTTCCATGTTTACTTTTTGAATTCCAATTTCTACAGCAGGAATATATATGTATATGTACGAGTGTGACTGTTCGACGCATGTAAATCCACACCTACACATATCGCAATTTTTTTTTAGAGTGTGTTCAACTTACACATATACATATATATTCATTTGTAAATTTAAAATATTTTCTGATGATTTCCCAGGCACGCAATTAGCTTTGGCGCCATAAAAAAGTTTTAAAAAAACCTATATAAAAATGAATTATTCTCCCTCACTTACACTTTTCACGGCTACTCTCTCTTCAAAAGTTTACCTACCAGCGCCTCAAACTCGCGAAATCAGTTACCAAGAGCTGGGGAAAAGGAAATATTAGAACCGGCTGATAGGTCGTTTTAATGAGCAGTGATTATTTTTAAAAAAAAAATTATTAATCATTCTTTTTTGAACCCAAACTGCCAGCTAAAGTAAAGGGTGTTTTTCTGACATGTGGATTTCAAGAAAAAATAAATCGCTTATCATTCAATGTTAAAGCTAAGAATTCAGCTTCATATAAAGATAAGGGCTTGTCATTATTACATTTACATAAAAATGATTATGACCGCCAAAGGTTGGCTCGAATAAATACCAGCCGAGAGGCTCAGTTCTCAATCTTTTCATGCAACAAATAGAGTCATAAGCCAGGGAGTCAATCGTCTTCAGCTAATTTGCGTCGACAAGCAACTTCACATAACCTGATAAAAAATAGTTCAGCCGTGTTAAAACGCACGATCTTGGAGCTGTGAGTTAATTACAAGGAAGGTTCGGCGTCCAAAAGTCTAGACTGGGAGGCGAGACGAAAGGGTCTGGCGGTGAATAAGGCCAACCCGAAATAGCACACAAAAAATAATACATCACATTGCGACTCGACGCCCAAGTCAAGGTTGACGACATCTGGTGAGTCGTCTTTTGGAGACCTCGAGTGAAAGGTTTTGTAGAATATTCATCGTCCTCCGCATATAGGCGACGGAGAATAACGAAGCGAATAAAAAAATAGCGGATACTCTAACTAGGTCAAGTTTTCGGAAAGATGAGAACTCCAGCTCTAAAAATATTGAAGGCATTACCCGCCGATGGAAGAAAAGGAAGCGTAAGTTTTACACTCCGTTGGTAAGGTCAGGTGGTGAAGGACGTTTTTTAACCCAAGCTGCAATGGCTTCATTATGGTCAGATCGTCAGCCAACCATCCAACAAATGCAAAATTAACTGTTTTTTATTACTTTTGTATAATTTTAAGAAATTATTCGTACTTAAAGTGATCCGAATAAAGTTATGGTCTCAAAACTAACCTATAAATACATAAATTTCGAATGAAGTTTTCAAGCTGAAGCAAGTTTCACATGACAGCAGCTCAACTAAATAAATCATTTGATATTTCATCAAAATTCTAAAATATGGCCAACACCCACACACACCCACCCACATAGTATTACTTTCATAGTTATTTCCATCAACATTGTTGCGGTTATTTTAGCCAAGCAACAACTATTTATAAAGAGCCATCAACCTCTGCGCTCACAAACAATCAACACATACTGGCAGACAATCAAGCTTCATTTGATCCGCAAAAATTCTTCACATATGAGTTTTAGACGACGAGTCTTAAAAGCAATTCCATTTTTATGGTGTCAAATCAAATGAAATGAAAACCTTATATGACCGCAGGGGTAAGGAAAGGAGCTGCTGTTGCTGCAGGGGAGATCAAGAAATCGGAGTCGGCAGCGAAACTAAAACTACAAGCGTTAAAATGTCATTTGTCACAACAGAGGGAAACTGCGGTCACACACAGATTTGGGTGAGCATACCCTATGAGGAGCTTTGTACAAAATATGTCCTTATGCCTTACATAATTTGAAAACGAATTTAAATAAAATTAAATAAATTATAATTAAGAATAAAGTTAAGTTAAATAAAATAAACAAAAATCAGATTAAATTAAATATATTTAAAAAATTAAATTAAATAAAATAAATAATAATTAAAAGGAAATGAAATAAAATAAAATTAAATTAAATTAAATTAAATTAAATTAAATTAAATTAAATTAAATTAAATGAAATTAAATTAAATTAAATTAAATTAAATTAAATTAAATTAAATTAATTTAAATTAAATTAAATTAAATTAGATTAAATTAAATTAAATAAAATAAAATAAAAAAATAAAATAAAATAAAATAAAATAAAATAAAATAAAATAAAATAAAATAAAATAAAATAAAATTAAAAACAATAAAAAAACCAAAAATATAATGAAGTTGAAATCAAATAAAAAATATAAAATATATAATATATTACAATAAAGTAAAATAAAATAAAGCAAAAAAAAAAATTAAGTAAAAAAGTGATATTAAATAAAATTCAACAAAATAAAATAAAACAAGGAATATAAAATAATATGAAATTAATTAAAATAAAATTATGTTAATTAAAATAAATTAATTTAACAATAATAAAATTCAAAAAATATAAAAAAATAACATTAAATAAAATATATCCAATAAAATAAGTTTAAATTAAAAAATAAAAATAAAAAAATATAATATGTTACATTAAAGTAAATTGAAAAAAAATTGTGTACAGTAAAATAAAATAAAATAAAAAATAAAATAAAAAAGCAAATCAAATAAAACTCAATAAAATAAAATAATAATAAAATAAAAGAAAATAATGTAAAAAAATTAAATAAAATCAAATAGTATTATAGAAAATAAGAAATAAAAAAAATTTAAAATTAATTAAAGTAAAATTAAAAAATTAAATAAAAAAAAAATTGTAAACAATCATTTGAAAGAACATTTTTTGGCATTTATTTTTTGAAGATTATCTCTTTCAAATATTGGCCGCGGCTATGTCTCAGA